GTCCTGCTGGCTCCCATTATGCAGTTAGTAACACAGAGCCAACGGGCATTTGAGTTTCTGAGCTCTGGCCCTTCATCTGAAGATCAGGTCATACCTGTGGTGGAAACCACAGAACATTAGGCTCCACTTTTCTCAAACATGTAATCAGAGCATTCAAACGCAGATCGCTGCATCTCACAGGCTGTTAACTTATGGATAGTACAGCAAACATACCTTCAAACAACAATCCATACAGTGGCTTCTGTAGTAGGCCTACAAAAACAAATCTGGTGACTAATTATTAAATAGCATCATTAGCCGAGCATTCAGTACGTGTAGATGGTTTAAAATAAAGCATTGTTTTAGCTACTTGGAATCAAAACAGTACAGATTTGCGCTCTGAAGTGCCGTTTGGGTATGTAGTATTTTTTTAGCTTTGAATGCCTGTTTCTAGAAGTTAGGACAAAAAAAACAACTTAACAAATGAGCAGAAATGACAGAGCACCATTTTTTCTATATATATTATTATTAATAGCATGTAACACAACATTTTGTTTAGACCAAATAAAACTGTTTCTATTCTTCAGCTTTCTTAGTTCTTATACACTATAAGCAGTGTTTAATCTGTAGACTGTCAATGAATGACTGATAGTTAGATCAGTGCACTGAGTGAAACAAGATGATGCAAGGATTCTGATCAGTTGGAAATGAAACGTTTGAAAATTGGTTTGACATGCAGTCCAAGGTCACTCATGTTTAATCGAGAGGAGAGGATAAGATACTGTTAATGTCACTTTGATTATTCATGGTGTGTTTTATGCTTTAAGATCCAGGATGTGTAACTACTGAGTGAGAAACATAAAGTGAAGTGTGTTATACATAGACAGGCATGTAATGTCACTAAATGGTGTTTAGTGACTTCAAAGACATTTATAGCTAATATCCTAACAGCCTTTATCCTGCAGTACTTTTTTCCTATAACAAATGTTATATTTACTTTAAATGTAATAAAACATTTTATAAAATGTTATTGTTGTTTTGAGCGATTTTTGAGTATAGAATGAATAGCTGATCGTGTAAAAAAGGTAAAGGTCCCTTGGTTAAATTGTAATAATATTTCACAATATTAAAATTTTTACTGCTTTTGTTTAATAATTAGCTTATGAGACAATACTACTGTTCAAAATTTTGGGGTCAGTAAGATGTTTTTGAAAACATTCAAATGCAGTCTAAATGTTTAATACAAGAAATAAAAAACAGTAAATATATAGTTAAATATAATCAAGGCATGTTTTATGTTTTTTTTTTCTTCTTCACTTTATTGAAATTAATTGTTGAGACACAAGCAATAAAAACATTCCAAAAAAGGTCTAACTAAATGACAGCATGTTTATATACAAAAGTGAAAGATTCAAATATATACAGGTTAATAACATGTACAGACACTCTTAATATCTCACTCTGAATTTCTTTATATGTCACTCTTAAGTTCACACCAAGAAAGAACATTATAACAATAACTAACAGTAACTATGTTGGCATACACACCAATGGACAATAAAAGCCCAAGCTTAAGTCATGTTGATTCTGATTGGCTGTCCAACAATATTGTTTGTATCATTCATTAGAATGATTATTAAAAGTTTATAGTTACAGTTATCATCCTTGGTGTGAACAAGCCTTTACTGGAGTTGCATTTATACTACCACCAACCTCAAAAAAACTATCCAGGAAACGATGTTATGGAAATTACAATATATACATAAAATATCTATATACATTTTACTACACATAGTCTCCTCCCAATTGCCACATTTAATAATTCACATCTAAATGGCAGTGGAGACTCAAATGGGAACAATGCAGGGAAGATAAAGTCCATCTCTATATTTCAGGCATCTGAAATCCAAAGCAGAAGCTCACTTGAATTTGTTTAAATCATCTGTTCAGAGCTGAAGGATCTTTCTGTGAGAAATGACAAGGACTACGACAGATCCGGGCCATCTCTTCATTTCAATACACATACCCAGTGACCAGCTTACATCAAAGCCCAGGATCACTTATTTTCAGAACATCTTTTATCGCCTTGCTGTAACAAACTTCATCTGCTTTTCTTCACCATAACGCTGGGCTCTGAACTTTAAACATTCTGTCTTCTTATACTTTTCCTTCCACCATCCATGAGGGTTAGTTAATAAGGCGAAAGTGTCTCCCTTCGGCCCCAAAAACCAATCAGCCGGGGTCCTCTTCTCAGCTATTTAGATGCTAGGCTGCCAGGGGCCTCATATCTTCATCTTACTCATCATCTTCAACAGTTCTTCACTCTCGTTTCTTTCCAAACACTGCAGACACGCTTCTGACTATACCCTTGATTCCAACCATTCCCTTTTTAAGTGCTTTGGACTCCTTGATGAGGTCCAGGATTTCGTGAAAAACCAGCAGCACACCGTGGTAGGTTTCCGCCGCCGAGATCTCGAAGAAGCCGCAGGCTGCCGAGAGGGCGAACAGTCTGCCCTCCTCACTCGACACGGCTCTCTGATGCAGCAGGTCTCGCTTGTTCCCCACGATGATGATTGGGGTAGATGCGGACAGCTTCCTAGTCTGGCGGATGAGCTGCACCTGTTGCCGGACCACCTCAAAGCTGGAGCGATCACAGATGCTATAGACCAGGATCACACCGTCTGCCCACTGCATCTGCTTGTCACTGATGGATTCAGTTGTTTCGCAGCTCTGGAGAATCAGAATTCAGAGGGTCAAATCACATTAACTTCAACAAGAAAGTATGATCCAAAAAAAACTGAATAAATGCATAGGTTTTTAATCTTTATTTTCAGCATAATTAAATATGATAAAAAAAAGTATTCATGTCCACTTCACACATACATAAAGTATAAAATTCAATATGATTATTATTCTCACTGTATTTTACTAATTATTATGCTTTTCCTTTTTTCCTATTTAAAGCAACCTTCCTCAGCTTAAAAAGTATTTTGGTCATTAGAATATTAATTCAGTCAGGTGTGTTTAAACTTTTTTTTGGTACAGCATGTATAATTTCAGATTTATTTACCCTAACACTAATATATATATATATATATATATGCATTTACAATAATCATAAAATATATCATGTTTTGTGAGATTCAACTAAATTAAGATCAATCTAAAAATTATTCTAATAGTAAGTATTAAATATGCAAATGTGATTGTTAATTTTAAAAATCCTTGCTGCAATATATATAAAGACAAAAAATATTAATAAAGAGCCTACCAATTTAGGACAAATATAAGGTAAATAAACTTTTTTTAAACGTTTTGTAAACACAATTACATTTATCAACACAGAATATAAAATTGACACTCACAAACCATATTTTTATTAATTTGTTTTTTAACTCCATGCTAGCTTTGGCTGGCTATATTTTCATGGTGAATATAGAAACAATATAATATACAAATATAAAATATATACATATTTTTTAACACCCATTTTTTCTAATAGCCTACATTTGGACTAACTTGATTTAATTTGCTTTTTTCTTTCTTCAAATCTTATTAAGAGAATAAAACAAACTGACGATATTATTGACCGACCAAGGATGAGTCAAGGAATTATATATTATTATTGACAAAACCTATCAAATTAATTGGCATATTAAAACAATTTGACCTCTTCATGCATTCTAGTATTGTAACCCAAATATTTCAAACAAAATACACGTCATACCTGTGGATACAGGGAGTCCCAAATATTTAAGGCTATCTCTCGCCCATCGGTTTTGTCAATATGACTGTATATTGATTCTGAAAGAGAGCATGTTGAAATTAAAGACTCCTCGTTCATAAACAACATAGCTTGTAGGTTAAGAATGGTATTATAGTAGGCTAAATCTACGGTGGCAGAGAAGTGCTAAACAAATCACAATTCTGAAATCAAAATAACAAATTACAAGGGAGAAAAAAAAGTTCGGCAAAAGGCGGGATCGAACCCGGGTGGATCATGTCAAAAAGCCAATAGCAGGCACTTATCCATCTGCGCCACTGGAACAGATGACTTACAGCAACTTTTAACTAAATGTAAATATATACACCCCGCATTTTTTATTCCAGAAATCTCATTTGACGTACCAATATCCCCATATTCTCCGATGAACCTTCTGGTGAGAAATCGCACAGTGAGGGCTGCAGACAAATAAATATAATAAAGTATTATTCGCAAGCTTAACAAAATAGATAATAGAAACATGACAAAAATCTCTGCATTCAAAGTCAAGTTCAGTTTTGTGCTCACCTGACTTCCCAACATTTTCTGCTCCAAGCAGCAGAACATTGGCCTCAACTTTGTGCTGATTTCCATCCATCGCTTTGCTGCCCAACTGAAGATTTGGTTTGACCAGAACAACCATTTCACCTAGTGAAGCCTGTGAATATCTTGAGTGTGCGCTTCACATGCTACTTCAACTATATATAAAAACAGTGGGTGGGGCTTATGGAAGTTGAGTCGCCTTTAAACCAATCAGAGAACAGTGCGCCTGTTCTCATTAGCAAACTGCCTAAAACTAGTCCTATCAAGTAGCCCTGTGTGTTAGACGTTTATATCAACAACAGCAAGGTTTGTTTATTCGTCTTTCAACCACAATCAACTCATACCGCCCTCAAAATATTGCCAGCGCAAGAGAGCGCCTTAAATCATGCTTGTTTTGTTTGCATTCGTACAGCGATAAACAAAAGGTTTTAAAATGTTTTATAACAAAATAGTTGGGTAACAACTACAACTTAGGCCATTAATATATTCCAGAGATGTCGTTTTTAATATTTATATTTAAAAGTGTCTGTTATATGAAGGTAGCCTATACGTTTTACATTTTTTGGTATATGGTGGAAAAGTCTTTCTAATTATATTTATTTGCTATTTTTATGTTGTTGTTTTTTTCAAACGATGTTATTTAACCAGGTCCCCACTCTAGAATTTAAATCTTAAAATTCCACTATTATAATTTTAAATGCGATATTTCACATTATTGCAGCACAACTGGTGGGGGTGGAACAAATTACACAAATTCATGTGTGTGTGTGTGTGTGTGTATGTATATAGTAAGACTGATGCTTGCCTTAATAAGCGCCAACGAGTTAGATTGAAAACAGAGCAAATTCATGCAACCAAAGGATCATCGCGTCCTCTACTGGCATCAGAGCTACATGACAACATTGATCTAATAATGCTAATAATTTGCAACCCACATGCACAAACAAATCGTGGCAGATCAAGGCATAAATTGACCAGAGAAAGAAATTTGACCTTGGATTAAATAATCTGTTTAATACACATCTTATTTTAAGGCAAATCTAAATAAGCAAAGTACTATAAAAAACAGAAACTGGTCTGGTTCCCTCTTCACAAGAAAATTCAGAAGATTTTTTTGCGACTTTAAAAGTAATGACTGAGGCACTTCATTATTCAGCAGCTGCAGTGTTTCCACAGCCATCTCTCTCCTTCCCTTCATCAGTGCAGGATTTCTTTGCAGCTGTACCACAGTTTGCCGTGAAAAACTCTCTCATGCGTTTCAAAGTGTTTCTGTGCTTCTCTCGTTCAGCCTCTGTCTCTGGTGTTCTGCTTGGATCTTTGCTGCTTGAGTGATTTAGGAGAGAAGCATGGAGACTCTTCCCAAAAGATTCATTCAGCTGTTGCTGGAAAGATTTTTTAAGTTTGACAACCATGTTTTTCCTCTGTAGAAATAACAAAAATAGCATGTCATTGTTGTATAACATTCAATTAAATGATTATTAGGTATGAATTTGCAGCTCTTAAAGTCCCCATGAAATCAAAATTAAAGTTTTTTTGGGTGTTGTTAGTATCAATGTTAGTCTATATATTTAGGTTATCTATAAGGCAGTGTGCTCCAAAGCAGTGACAAAATTCGCATTTAGAAGATATAAGCATTCAAAGTAATGATGACCGGTTCGCGAACGAATCGTTCAATTTAATCGGTTCTTCTTAGTGAACCGGTTGAACCAGTTCACCAAATCGGACTGAATCGTTTGAAACGGTTCGCGTCTCCAGGTAGCATTAATCCACAATTTACTTAAGTTATTTACTTTTTTAACGTGGCTGACACTCCCTCCGAGTCGAAATAAACCAATATCCAGGAGTAATTAATTTACTCAAACAGTACACTGACTGAACTGCTGTGAAGAGAGAACTGAAGATGAACACGAGCAGAGCAGCATGTGTGCAGCGAGCCGGCACGTAGTGCACTATATAGGGGACAGGGAACGATTCAGACAGTGTAACTATGCTTTCCATTGAGGAAAAAAAGAAGTCTGGTTTCGCGCTGTGTCACGCTAACCACCGCACACACACTCTGCTCCGGTCCAGAGACACGATAGCACGGAGCGGATCACATGCGCGAGTCGGCGCAGACCACAAAGTGTATCGGAGCTATTTGAATTCTACACAGCATGCTATATTTTATAGCAATATGGATGAGATTGTGGCTGGCATACCCTGTCAAATGCGGCTTTACGGAGCTCAACGGCTCTAGTCCAAGCTGTGATATAAACGAACGCTATTGGCTATTTTAAAAAGGGGCGGGGCTGCTTGACATGTCCCGCCCTGTCTTCCTGTTTCAGTTAAAATGACATCAACACATAGAATAACGCTGCGTGTTTCTAAGCATTTCAGGGAACCTTTAAGGTAAAGTTTTGAATTACAAAGAAGAAGCTTAGCAGTTAAATTACACATGAATGTGATCAGCTGAATGGCAGTGATTTACCTCCGAGTTCAACATCAAGATATCAAAAAGAGTCCAAACATCTGACACCAGCTCAGCAACAGTCCGATAAGGCGGCTTTCGTTTCCCCAGGAGTCGGCCGAGTATTATATCAAATTCGGCTGTTTTTGAGTGATTCTTTAAAAACAAAGCACAGCTCATAAGGTCATTTTTAATCTGGATCTATTTATTTATTCGAAAACACATTCAAATGTGAAGCAAACAACAAAATCATGCGGTGTGACAAAGGCAGAAGCATTCAGGAAAAATAAGGAAATTACATTAGAGAGGAGCTCTGAAGACTTTCATGACTGTGTATCAAGGTCAATAAGTCTATTAATATATCTAATAATTTGCCTATGAAATGGAAAAATTAGTTCAGGTTGTAAAATGTCATGTGGTACATTATAATTATGAATAAATAATTGTATTATTACTCATGATATTTTTTTACATCCATATATATTATTAAGTATAGTAACATTTATAGTAACACAATTACAATCTTTTTTTTAATAATGTGAAAATACATTCTCGCATCTATTCAAATACACTCGCATGTATTCAAGGTGTAACAAAAAAATGTGTTTTTAATTGATAGTTACACCAAATTTAAACTTTTGTTGAAAATGGTATAAAAGTTTTTTTTTTCAAAAACTGCACGAATACAAAGAGTATATTTGTAAAACCTTAGCACAAGTTAATCGAACATCTATCTTCACATTCTTATTTGTCATTAACTATTCAATAAACTGTCTGGAATAATAATATTATTGGAATATTGGAATATCATCAGTATTTGTGACTGTTTTCACATTTTAAAATAAAATAAAAAGTAAATTGTGGACTGAAGAAGCTCAGGCTATGCTAAATACAACATGCACTGTGTATTTACCTTGGTGGCGCTGAAGAGCAGGCTCTTGTTCTCATCACACAGGAGACCAAAGAGAAGCTTCTCACACTTCTGAACAGAATGGATGACATTATATTGGTGTGACTTTATATCATTTTAGGACAAGAGATAAAAGATGTGGCATGACACTATACTAAATTACAATCCTCTCCTAAAATATCCTTTTAAAAAGTGTTGCGAGGGTAACTATGAATGTAGATTCTTTCAGGCTGGTGGTGTCTCACTCTTTGATCTTCCAGACTCAGACTAGGTGTCCTCATCTCCTCACTGCCATACATAACTGTCTCATTTAAATCCTGACATAGCAAACACACCCAATCCTTACTGCAAGAGAAAAGAAATATACCAAGACTCAAATAGTGGACAAAGAAAAGAGTTACTGTTCTTACATGCACAAGCTTATCAAACGCCAAAGTCTTATAAATCATAGACACTCCAAAATTGTAATTAGTGTTGTACAGTGTTATGTTAGTTTCTGATGGTCTCACCAAGGTTTTGTGAGAATTGGTGGGATGTGACAGTCATAGTGAAAAGCACAGCCACATTTTGCACACAGAAGTGGAGCTCCTGCAGACAGACACACGGCACAGAACTCTACATCAGATGCTGGGGAGCTGTCGCTGTCTTGAGATACAGAGCAAGAAGAGGATCTAGATGGTAATGGATCTTCATGCCATCTCCACACCTGGTTAACCTGGGGAAGAACAGGGCACAATTGAGAATAGCTGTGGTGCTAACATGGCTTTATACTAACAAGTGTCATATGTACTCAGGTCTTTCCAGCTCTACAGTGTCCTGTCCTTACCTGTCCACCCTGGGATTCCTGCACTAAGATGTGACCTGTGGAGGTATCTGTAATAAGGTGGAACTCTGGGAGTGGCTGTCCACTTGGAGGCAGAGAGATGGGCAGACACTCAAGAGAAACACGTAGAAACCTATTCGACAGAAAACAGTGGTCTCCGATCAAAAAAAGACTTTTATTCAGCAAGGACACATTTATTTGATCAAAAGTGACATATAATAATGTTACTAAATATTTGTATTTCAAATAACTGCTGTACTTTTGAACTTTCTATTCATCAAGGGATCATTAAAAAAATGTATCATGGTTTTCACAAAAACATTAAGCAGCACAACCGTTTTTAACATTGATAAAAATATGTTTCTTGAGCACCAAATCAGCAAATTAGAATGATTTCCGAAGGATCAAGTGACACTGAAGACTGGAGTAATGGCTTCAATTACAAGAATAAATTTCATTTAAAAATATATTAAAAAGGAATTTACAAAAGAATAAAATGGTTATTTTAAATTGTAATAATATATCACAGTGTTACTCTTTATTTCTGATTAAATAAATACAGCCTTGGTGAGCAAAGAGACTTCTTTCAAAAACTTTTGGACGGTAGTGTGAATAGTATTAACACTATTAATACTGTTAATAATATTATTAATAGTTATTACAAACATTATTTGTGACATAAATGAGGTTAATAATTCATGCGATGCAGGAAGGATGCAAATAAGCACTATAGATTCCACTATGAAGAAGGTCTTCAACCAATACTATACTATATCCTGAGTTCACCTCTTGAATTGTTTGATTTGTCTCCTGAAGTGTTCCAGCGTTACTAAAAGAGAGAGAGGGGGGAAAAAAAGAAATGAGTGAGGAAAACAAACACTATACTTTTGACAACTCTTTTGAGAAGAAAATCACCTGCAGATTCTTTGTCTTCTTTTTTTGCCTCCCTGTAGTCAAACGCACTTTGGACAGTCTTGTCATGAGTTGTCCTCTGGTAGGAAAAGAAAGCTTTTGAATGAAACGCAGATCTCAGACATACAACTCTCCATATTTCTATCTGTAAGAATCAAACATTCACCAACCTCCCCGTCAAGGTCTTCTGATGTGCTACAATGAGTTGAATCCGCTGGAGGTGTGGTGTTCAGATTGTCTTTTGACCTGACAGGTATGCATTTTGCCTCTACAAGCTGACGGAAAGTTATCGGCATGCCAACGCTCCAGTGTTTTGGTCCAGAGTAGTTCTTGGTCGATGACTGATCGTCTAGAGTTTGTCTTGAACATTTCTCTGTGATGGTGGAGAGAGAATCCTGGTGAATGTTGGATGGGCCAGAGGAGTGGGCAGGATCTGGTGAAGGTTCTTTGGGAGCTGTCTCTGACACATGGGAGGTGGGTAAGTTGCTCTCCAGATGATCCGTATCAGTGAAATTCGTGCTGCTCACATCTGCATCCTGATCACAGGCGGAATCAGCCAAGGCCTTGACTGGGACGTTAATGCTATTGTAGGTGCCGTTTTTACTCCAGAGGGTGTCGTTGCCACTAATGGGAGCAGAAGGCATTGGGTTTACAGGAAGTAAAGAACCACTAGCTGTGCTTGGGATGGCATTAGAAATTGTACTGGTGGGATTTGGTGCACAAGGGTCCTGGGGACAATGATTCATCCTACCACTGGAGGCTTCAGTAAAATGGACATTAGAGATTGCAGTAGTGTCATTTAAGGAAAGTGCGTTTATGGTTGAAAGGACAGTAAAGGGAATATTGGGTTGCATAGAAAATGAATGTCCAGGCCCCAGGAAATTGGTTTGTATTGGATGGGTCAGTATGAGTGTTTGGTTGCAAGTTGGTAAAGAATGGGTTAGTATGGTTGATTGGTTGTTGGCTGGTATTGGTTGAATTAACACAGGCATTTGGTTGTTGGCTGGTATTGGATGAGTTGGTTTGGGTGTTTGGTTGTTGACTGGAATTGGTTGAATTAATACAGGCATTTGGTTGTAGGCTGATATTGGATGAGTTGTTACGGGTGTTTGGTTGTTGACTGGAATTGGTTGAATTAATACAGGCATTTGGTTGTAGGCTGATATTGGATGAGTTGTTACGGGTGTTTGGTTGTTGACTGGAATTGGTTGAATTAATACAGGCATTTGGTTGTAGGCTGATATTGGATGAGTTGTTACGGGTGTTTGGTTGTTGACTGGAATTGGTTGAATTAATACAGGCATTTGGTTGTAGGCTGATATTGGATGAGTTGTTACGGGTGTTTGGTTGTTGACTGGAATTGGTTGAATTAATACAGGCATTTGGTTGTAGGCTGATATTGGATGAGTTGTTACGGGTGTTTGGTTGTTGTCTGAAATTGGTTGCTTTTGGTTATTGACTGCCATTTGATGCGTTTGTAGGGGTGTTTGGTTGTTGGCTGGCATTGGATGAGTTGGTGTGAGTGTTTGGTTGTTGGCTGATGTTGGATGAGTTAGTATGGGTGTTTGGTTGTTGGCTATTATTGGATGAGTCAGTAGGGGTGTCTGATTGTTGGCTGGTATTGGATGAGTTGGTGCGAGTGTTTGGTTGTTGGCTAGAATTGCATGAGTTGGTATGAGTGTTTGGTTATTGGCTAGTATTGGATGAGTTGGTACAGGTGTTTGGTTGTTGATAGGCATCTGACGAGTTAGTAGGGGTGTTTGGTTGTTGGCGGGCAATGGATGAGTTATAGGTGTTTGGTTGTTGACTGAAATCGGTTGTTTTTGGTTACTGACTGCCATTTGATGAGTTAGTAGGGGTGCTTGGTTGTTGGCTGGTATTGGATGAGTTGGTGCAAGTGTTTGGTTGTTGACTTGAATTTGATGAGTTAGTTGGGGTCTTTGGTAGTTGGCTGGCACTAAATGAGTTGGTGTGAGTGTTTGGTTGTTGGCTGGTATTGGATGAGTTGGTACAGGTGTTTGGTTGTTGACTGGAATTGGTTGTTTTTGGCTGTTAACTGGCAATGGGCGGGTGAGTATGCGTGTTTGAGAGACCTGCATGGTAGGGCAATAGGCCTTCCTACATTTGGCTGACTCAGAGATATTGCTTATTTGAGATGCTGTGCAGTTCATGAGTGGAAGACGGGGCTGAGAATAAACAGACAGGGAATAATTCATGTGAGTTTTAGGAGCAGACTGAGGAAAATATGGGACACAGTTCGATGAGGGACTGTAAGCATGCTTGGATTGCTCAGACATCACTTCATGGGATTGGACTTGGACAGATGGTGAGGAAGATGAACTCTGAAGGTCTGAAGAGGAACGTTTAGATTGATTCGGTTGGGATGAGGCAACATTGTTATATGCAGAGCGGGCCTGGTTAGAATGAGATGGCTGGCTGGGTTGAGATGGATGAGGCAGACTATGAAGGGCCTGGTTCATTTGCACAATCTGAGAGGAGGCACAGGGACGCAGTGTAAAACTGTTGAGAACACATTCACCCTGAACCTGTGCATCAACACTTGAGGAGGTGGGTGCAGGATGAACATCAGTGGCAGTTAGAGGAGAATTTGGATTCGAGCTTTTCACAGACACAGACTCTAACTGAGTGGAATCAGTTCTCTGAGTGGTAAATGGAACAAGAACCTTACTAATCCTCAAAAATCCTGGGCAAAAAGATGTTAAAGAAAGGAAAAGATGTTAAATTCATAGATTTTTATAAAACGTAGATAAATTTTTCTAATAAAAAAGTGGAATTTTACCAAATTTCATGATGTGCTGACAGAGTTCATTCTGAATCTGAAGGTGCAGTTCAATCATGGTCTCAGGGGTGTATGCCTTCTGGGACAGAAGCTTTTTCACCTGGGTCTCAATCTGAGTTAGAGACACAAAAAATATAGCAGAGGGCTAAACAAACATTTAGGATCTGAATGACTCCAAGTTTTAGTCACAAATATGGTAATAGAATGGTAACAAATGTATGCACTTCACCTCAAAACATATGACGGAGCTAATATTATCCTAAACAATATCAATAAATCTAGGGGGGGTGTCTTTAACATAATCAGTATGAATGTATTATGTAATACAATGTATTATGATATACAAGCAATAAGCAAAAAATAGAACAGCTTACCCTTTTTGTGTGGACCAGGAGGCAGTGGCCCTCTGTGCATAGGATCTTGTCAATAAAAGCTGCTATGTACTCCTGACAGCCTTCCAAACTGTTCAGAGATGTCTTCCTCTCCAACAAACACCCCACCTCCTCCGCAAATAAGGCCTTAATATCAAACATTTAAAAATGAATCAACGGTTACAGGCTTGAGGTTCCTGAACAGAACTGGAGATAGATAACAAGGAAGTCATACAAAGAATATGCTGAGTGCTTTCAGGTAATGCTAAAGTATGTGGGTGTTTCTCAGGGAGATTTAGTACTTTTCTTGTCTTTCTCATAAGAGGTTGTATTCTGATAATAAACGTCAGCCTTTATTGTAGCTCAGAATCTTTTGCACAGAAAGAGTAAAAGATCGTTTTTTTATGATGTGATGGACATTCTTTGATGGAGAGTTTAGAGAATGTGCTCCAACACAAACCTTTTAATGTGTATGAAATTTGAATGCTTCTTTTATTTGTTTTGCTTAATTCCTGTTTCATATTCTGAACAGTTATATGCTTATATTGAAATCCAAAATGTTTAAATGTATTTTGCCCTGAACTAGGAAGGTCAAATGTACATCTAACAACCATAAAAGGATTTGGTACAAATGTATACTATAACTAAATCTGTCTTATGAAGTAGTCTAGGGAAATGATCTGCCTAGATGAGTGTAACCAATCAAAATGAAGAAAACCATGCAACTCATGTAACCATGCCATTTTTATATATTCTACAAAGTATAAATAGGTGTGCATTTTTCTGTTGGTCAAACTTTAAAGTGAAGTTTTGACGAGTTATGATAAAAGAGACTGAAGCTACAAACTGTAATGATGGAGATCGAAAACACATTCTGAAAATTTGTGAAGTATGCCAAATATTCATAATTTACCTTTCCACTGAAATATTAAAATCATGTACAGCATGCTTCAGTAAATGAGGATTATTGAGTTCTAAATGCTTACCTCTATCACCTTTAACATCTGTGTAGCTTTCAGAACCAGAGTCTGATAAATGGAGTGGACTACCTGTGTCAACATCTTCTTTGCTGCTACTTTTATTTTTTCAATTTCCTGCAATCTAACAAAGATTAAAATATTCTCAACAACACAATAATTACACACAAGAGGAAGATAAAACAGGAAATGTCTGCAAAGCGAAACCATTATATGCAACTTTGGTTGCAAGCACATCTGCTAGAAACTGCTACTGTCCTGCAATATTTAGTGAGCTATGACAGTCTAAAAAAAGAATGTTGTGATCCACTTTCTTTTTATTATACTTCATTATATATATATATATTCCATGAGGTAAGAGGGAGGTATAAGAAAAGTCATTATTCCTCTTATGTATATTCCTTTGTTTTATATTATATTTTTTACTTTTAGAGGTGCCCATATATTTTCAAAAAGTACACTTTTGTTCTTAATTTCATGTTATCATCTCCATAGAATGTGTTTTGGAAACTAAATCTAACCAGTCCTTTAACACTGGGGATTCTAGCCTTCTCCAAAATTTCATTATTTCTTAAAAGCAATTCTCAGTATTCTAAATAAATAAGTAGCGTACTATACCCAGGACTATGTTTTGTATTACATAAATTACTTCTGTCCAAAATGTTTTTATTACTTTACAAGTATAACAAATATGTGTGTAATGAGCTTTAAACACACCACATCTTCTTCCACATCCTAAAGATGCCTGATTATACGTATGCATGATATTTCTGGTGTTATGAAATATCTCATGTTAATTTTCCAAGCATATTCTTGCCAACATGGAGATTGCATGGTTTTTAGAATTTCTTTTAAATTTTTGATTTCAATCTCCTTCCATTATTCTTCTTCCATATTGTTTAACTCAGCCTCCCATTTTACTTTAAAGTTATGTAAACTCTTATTTTTAAATTCTTTGAATATTTTATTTATTCGACCTATTAAATTATATACTTTAGAACATTTATAACTTTGATTATAAACCACAACAGAGGGTGAATATCTTCTATTGTTTATTTTAATTTCATCTATTAAATAACTTCTTATTTGTAGATCATTTCCTATACAATGCATTTTTTTGTTGTTTTCAAAAGTCTTGATCTCATTATCAACACACATTTGATAAAATCTTATGTCCTTTGCCAGCCCAAGCCTCAAATACATCATCTAAAGCAGTGTGATCCACCTTCACGTCCATTGTTAATATTGCATTGTGAAATGAAAAACACGACTGAATGTTATTCCACTAATATTAGATGTTTAGAAACATAAATATCTTTTAGATGCTTTCCATTTGTAATTCAAAAAATGGCTAGTAACAGCAGCTAGTATGTGTGTTTAATTACTGAAAATCTGGCTTTTACCAATTTACGAGCATATGCTGTGTCTCTCTACCCACTCTTTACCCAAGCTTGCATTCCTTAGAGGTGATAAGAGTTCTGTGCTTTCTCTCTGGATTGGCCAATTTTGGCTCTTTGACTTTGGGCGTTTTTTCTTCTTCTTTGTTTTCAGTCATGTCAAAAATACATGAATTTACTGATCTTATTAACATTAAGTTCCTTGATTACTAATTGTTTTAACATATACAGGTATGTGAATCAATATGTTGTGGAGATTTAATTACATATTCATTCATTGTTAAGTATTATTAATTGTTCCTTCAACTCTTATCGGTTGCAATGAATAAATACCTTGTATTTCAGCCTGACTACAGATGAATTGTTAAGTTATCAAGAAAACGTTTTTTTGAGTGTGAGTGTGTGTGTGTGTGTGTGTGTGTGTGTGTAAATAGAAGATTTATACACACAATAGAACAATACTTCTATTTCAGTAATGTTTCTAGTGACCATCTGTTAGCAGGATGTAAAGTGATCTACTCCTGTATTCACTGTTGGGTCTGGTTTGATCTGCCATTAACACCTCTCCTGGTTCCCACACTCTCTTTTTTCTGTTTCTGTTCACCACTGTCCTTTTGAATAAACAGCAGTTTACACCTTGTATTAAGATTAGTCTCAAGTGACTCAGCCACTGACGCCCAGGCTAGACAGATCGTCATTTACATGTGGTACAAACATCTCATGCGTCTCCTGTATCCACTTGTGATTGCATATCAAGGGCAGGGTCTCACTACCTCACATATGTTGATAAAGCACAAAATGTAAAATAAAAATCACTTTTTTTTATGCTTTATTATTATCATTAATTCATTTTTTACGCTGTGTAAACCTGTATTTAACATTGAAAATGGATGGTAAGCTGAGTCTTTTTCACTTTTAAGGAACTTCAAATCACTAAAAGTTTTCTTTAGAAAGTTGGTAAAGGATTTTGACACATTATAGATGGATTTTAATGGATCATAGTATGAAGCTAATGATAGTCTGTGCCCCTCATACACTATGCAATAATTACAACCCCAAACCTGCAGACTGCCTATAAATTCGGCCAACTAGCAGTGACACGTCCAGACTGCAATCGAGGCAAAAATAAAATAAAACATTTGTAGTGTATTTCAGCCTTCACCAATTTTCCTTAAAGGGACAGTCCACAAAAAAAGGAAAATTCTGTCATCATTTTTATACATTTCTTTCCTCGGTGGATCTCAAAAACAGAGACATTTCTCAAAATACCTTTTTTATCTACCACAGAAGAAAGAAAATCAGTTTGGAATAAGAGGAAGGTGAGTAAATGATGACAGAATTCTCTATATCCCTTTAAGAAATATGGGTGAAACAAGGATGTGACAGACTGTTATTGACAGACTGTTCATTTATCTCAGTGGTTCTCAATTCCAGTTCTGGGGACCCACTGTTCTGCACATTTTATCTGACACACTTAGTTCAGTTCATGGATCTCTCTCCAAACTGATGATCTGAATCAAGAGTGTTAAATAAGTGAGACATGCAAAATGTGCAGAGCAGGGGGTCCCCAGGACTGGAATTGAGAACCAGTGATTGAAATGGTGTACTGTAGATTTGACCAAGATAAGATGTAAGTCCACATGGCTCCCTTCAGTTACCTTGCCTCTAGGAGCAGCAGGCTGCTGATGACCGTCTCTTTCTGATGTCTGATGGAGTCCAACAAACTCTGCAGCTGCTGTCTCTGAGATCCCACAGCTTCCTCCTGCTGCACAAAACTGACACATAGATGGACATGTAAAAACATGGACATAGAGAGTGTGTGTGAGATTGAAAAGCAGAACATCCTGTGCCTGCTGTGTTTTGCTGCGCTTGCTATATTTTTGGGCATAGACATTACTCAATGGTCATAAGACATACCACTGCCATATTAGGATATTTTAGCCCTTGCTACATTTTCTTATTGCTCAATATTTCACTTCTGCTTGACTCTATATATACGCATCACATAACCAATAAAACTGAACCTAGATTGAACTGCACCACTTGTGTCTGTTTCATTCTGGGCTCCCGGGTACCTGTCTCCTCTGCTCCATAACCCAACCGGATAATCAGATAACCACTTCGGATCTCTGCAATTACTTAAAATACATTTATTTTAACACTGTGATAAGGTATTGCTGAGGAGGAATATCAAAATATATAAAATATTTTGGTCTAACTCCTCCAAATATCACAAAGTTTTACAGCTAAGCAAATAGGGAAACAATAACCCAAAACGCAAAAGAAATGCCCATATAGTATCACATGCACTGATCTGAGTGGGTTGATATGGACTATACCTGTGGCCCCTATGAGTGATCAGCTGGCAGTCCTTACAGGTGAGCTCTTCACAAACAAGACAGAAGAACCTCAAGCTCTCCTGAGTGTGTGAGGGACAGCGTCTTCTCTGTATCCAACCTGAACAAAACAAATAACAGAACAGATCTGATAATGCACAGAAGTTTATAGCGTAAGAGAAAATATTATTTTCTCTATGAATATCAATGCCACTGCTTATGCATGATTCATTTTGTTAATCTTATATAAGTTAAAGATTTCCTTGCATAACTTTTAAAACTTTTGAAAGATGATTTTTGACATATATACAATACATATATGTGTGTAAATCATTATTTTTAATGTATGTATTGAAAACAGATTTTCTACCTTAATTGTTCAATAATAAATTATGTTTTTGATGAAGGGATTAGAGAAGGAGGACAAAAGTAATTGTCTCCCTCTGATGTTTCAAGCTTAAACTACAAATGCTGTATTAAAAAAAAACAACTTGTGTACAATGCCTCAGTCTGCATAATCTGTTTTGCTTAGAGCTTATTTTGTAGCTCTCTGAGGTATGTTTTGGTTGAAAGAGAAACTACCCTGGATCACGATTTCAGACAAATAAATTTTATTTGATCATTTTACCACTGAGTGGTCTGTCTTTAATTTTACAGGTGAATTTCCACCACAATAGCAGTGTTAGTCTGAAGTGTGTATGGACTTTAAGTCTAACCTGTGGGTGGTTTTTTGGGTGTGACTTCATGGTCACGGGTCACTTTTACCCTATGATGAGCAGATATACAGTCCAAACAAAGGGCCTCCTCACACTGGACACACCATCCACTAACCTCACTCTCTTCACACCCGGCACACTGAAAAAAGATTCAATTAACATTTTGCATTAAGATTTACAATGGAAGACAGAGGAAATGCCTCCTTTATGTCAGTGCTGGAATTCTTTGGACCAGTTTAAAGTGCATATTGCAGGTTAGAGACCCAGTGCGTCTAGAATTCTATTTAAATTCTAATTCTAATTTCTATACATGTATAGAAAAATAATGTAGGAACTAGATTTTGTTTAAAATATACTTATAAATATGCTACTTGAGGCTTCTGGAGTCGTTTTTGTGAGAAAATTTTACTTCCGCATCTGAAAAACGGCAAAACCAGAAGTGACGTAACAAGAGGGAGTGTGGTCAATTTAAACAATAGGAAAACAATGGATCGCAATGACAGTTCGGACGCTGAGGAAATTGTAAATGTTTATTCATACTTGAATAACGGACCACAGCCATACAATTATGAGCCTGCTATGTGGCCAAGAGAGCAGGGACAGGCCAGGATTATTCTAATAATAATTAAAGATTATCCTTGCCATTGATCCTGGTGACCACGAACTCGACTACGAATAACTTAGCTAAGAGGTCTTTGTGTCTGCGCAAATAGAGAGAATCGCTATTCCTTCCTTCCACTTCTCAATGAAAAAAAAAAATGTCAACACAGAGAGAACAAACAAACTCCACACAGATGTTTTTTATTCGCGCTTTGGTTCCTATTTTAGAATGACTTTAAAAAGTAATTGTAGACTAGTTACAGCGAAAAATTATTATTATAATAAATGTGTGTGTGTGTGTGTATATATATATATATATATTTTTTTTTTTATGTGGGGCTGGGTTTTTCACATGACACATAAATGATGATATATTTCAAAGAGTCAATTCTGCTGTTTTCCACATGCACCGCGATCTCTGGCAGTTCATTATAATGTAGTATAATAAACATATCCTATCACACAGTATTCAAATCCGGAACAAATTAGCTTTTTTCGAGATTAATGCAGATATTTGTGTGTGTATTGCAGTTCTAAAATATTGATTTAATGTTATACACAGTAACTGTTATGCTTACATTTAGGCAGAACCTTAATTTTTTTTAGGTGCACGGCACCACTGTTTTTTATTATTATTGTGAAGTGAAATAATTAAATTACTGTGTATAACATTAAATCATTAAATATACTGTATAATAAAACCTAAAATATTTTTTCACTGTAACTACTCTACAATGACTTTTTAAAGTCGTTCTAAAATAGTTAAGTCTGGGGTTTCATGACCCTTTAAAGAGCTCGGGCAGATAAAGCAGCAGCATGTGCTTATAATAATCAATAAATGTAAAATGTATCTTTATCTTTATATTTATCGTTCTTTGTGTGAATGGCCCTTTATATGAATTGGCAAAATCTTCTACAAAAAGAGTAGGGACTGAACTGAATGTACCATTTTATTCAAAACTTTCTCCATAATCTGTGCACTCTTACCTTGGGGGCCTTGTTATTGTTAGACGTGTCTTCAAAAATGGCACATTCTGTGACCTCAGACAAACAAAAGGACTGTGCACATAATGGACAATCTAGATGAAGAAAGAAACAAAAGCCTCAGACACACTAAAAAGAAACAGTTCTACAATATGGAAGGCCACTTCATTAAATTCTAACTACTCATGTTGCTGTTTAGCAAACCTTAAAGAAAGCACAAAAGTCATTTATTGAAGTAGAATGATTTATTAGAGTAGCAGAAATTATACAAATTAAACGCATTGTAAATATTTCTACTTTACACCTTGTTTGCTTGACAGTTTTATCAACAAAACTGAACTGATTTTTAATAAATAATAATGTTAATGCAAAAATGCAACATGTAAATGACAAAACATATATTCCATATGTAAACATGACACTAATTTCGTCATGACATTAAAGAAACGCAGCGTTTCTATTTTTCACGCACTGTACAGTGGCCACTTTAAAAAAACATTTTTTTTTTTTTTTTAGATTTCTCTTCGAAACTTCCTGTATCGACAGGAAATGCGTCAGTAAGCTGCGTTGTTGTTGTTTTTTTAGATCAGCATCATTACTGTGCGTTCATAAAATGTATATACAATATATACAATGTTATATACAATAACAGTATATACAATGTTTGTTTAGTATGTAGATAAAAAAATAAAAAACTTTATATCGGGGCTAGTTGTAACTGTTCATATGGCCCCCAATGGAAAACACAACCTGGCCCCGGACATTAACTTTAAGACCCCTTATGTAAATAATCGTCGGGACTACACAGTCAATTAAACCTGTGTGAGCCTATTTCGACGCGATTATAAAAACTTCACGTACAGAGTTGGACTTTAACGAGCGTCCCATTAAAACCAGTCAAACTGTGAACAGTAACAGTTACAAGCGAGTTCTCACCTTGTGTGGCTCCATCTGTGCAGATCTTCGTAAGACAAGTATTGCAAACTATATGCAGGCAAGGGAGAAGTCTGGGGTCTGCAGAAGAGTTTAGGTGTACTTTGCAAACAGCGCAGCATCCGCAAACAGTTCTTTGTAAAACCGGACGAGGCGACGCTGGACGCCCTGTTTGGTGAGGGGTAAACATCTGTTTCTTGAGAATAAATTAATATAATCAGAGGTGTAACAGCAGATGAAATGTATCTTGATACGCCTCACGGGAAAATCGACGCGTTGCGCTTATTATTGTATGAAGCATTCGTGGAGCTAACGGCAAGCCGTTGATTATGCAGTTCCTAAAACGTTTCTGTTGGAGGGGTGGGCCTCATGGAATATTCATTAGTTCCTAATATAGTGGGCGTGTTCTAACAAAACGAAGCGGGTGGAACCGCAAACGTGAGATATACAGTAACTATTGGCAATGTCACAATTGTAGTAGATTATTTCGCTTTAGTTTCAGTTTAATTCTTTTCACGTATTGTTTTGAACGTTTCCGTGTGTTTTCAATTTGTGAGTATATTTTTAGGACAAAGACAAACTTTATAGCACTTTCCATGTCAGTTTTAAAGTCAAATTATTTGTGGCTTGTAGCATTATGAATAGAAAAATGCTGTAGTTGTACCAGTGGATTGCGTCTTGCTTCAGCTTGATAAAAAAGAAAAAAACAAAAACAAAAAAACTTGAAATAATTGTTACTTAAGAAGTTTTGTAAATTTTTTAAAAACCAAACAACAAAACATTTAGGCTACATGCACTGGATATTTTAAATCTAAATAAAATGTTACAAACTCCATAAAATTGTGATCTAAGGAGTTGGTACTAACATTTCCAATGCTTTTAATTTGTCAGAGGGTAGACTGATGAATATTCCAGCATGCTCCACCCAATGAAATCGAAAACCTGAGGAATCCTATATATTTGTAGCCTTGTAGAGAACAGAGTGGAATCTGGTTTATTTATGTCCTGGAAGGAGTGGGTGGATTTCCATGAAGAGATAAGTCTGTGTGCTTGTCTTTGGAGGAGTGCATTGATGAGAAACTAATTCTTAAATACATGTTTAATACATTTAGGGAATATATTGAACGTGGGACAGGTAATTGCAGATTACATACAAGTTCTTGACATAGAAGACTCACTTGTGGTTGTTCTTTTTTTAGTTCACCCAAAAATGAAAATTTGCTGAAAATTTACTCACCCTCAGGCCATCCAAGTTGTAGGTTAGTTTGTTTCTTCTTTGGAACAGAATTCGAGAAATGTAGTATTACATCAGTTGCTCACTAATGGATCCTCTGCAGTAGTCAATATAAAATTACATTTGTGATTTTGAATATTGTTGAAAATTAAGATTAATGTGCCAAAGACTTGAAGTGAAAAGCTGCATGTTTGTAAGCAACAAATCCATAGGGTGTTTTAACCATAGATATGGTTTTAACTTTAAATCATTGTTTCTGGCTAAAACACCGGTAGCCTACATAATCATGATTCCTCCAGTAAAAAAATGTCCATCCCTTGTCCTCTCACATCAAAATCCACCAACATATTTGTTTAAATTGTTTTTGTCTGTTTTCAGTTGTAAGTGGTGCTGGAGTTGTGTGGATTACTGTGATGTTTTTATCAGCTGTTTGAATGTTCATTCAGACGGCACCCATTCACATTCAAATGATCCATTGGTAATGAAATGCTATAGCAAGTGATGTAATGATACATTTCTCCCAATCTGTTCCAATGACGAAACAAACTCATCTTGGATGGCTTGAGGGTGAGTACATTTTTCAGCAAATTTTCATTTTTGGTAAACGATTTCTTTAAGCCTTGGTTTTTATAATCTGAGGCAGTTGTAATAAAAATGCAATTTTATTGGTTACAATACTGTTAGAAATTAACAATCGGTCCCTCTATGTTCTCTTTGCCACCTAGAAAGTTCTCAGTCCCTCAAAGTGTATACGGCCGGGAAGCAAGAAAACACACATCAAATTGTATTCTCAATACTTCAATTTATTCATAGATACAAAGATATTATATAGGCATATGTCGAGGGGAGTTTCACCCTCTTAACCAATGAGGATATGAATAACATACACATATAGGATCTTTGGCCAAGAACATGTGTTTATATAAAATGGCCATATGAACAGAAAAACATGGACATATTAGGAATAGACTTTTGCGAAGGATGCTAAATTATCTTCATTTTTTCATCACGAACCTCATTCCTA